TGAATCTCCACAAAGCTCAGTGTATAAACCTCTCAACCAGATAGCTTCTTTGCATGCCTCAGAAATAGCCATATACTCGGCATCAGTAGTGGAACAAGCCACAATAGACTGCAAAGTTGCTCTCCAACTCACAGCACAACCACCAATGGTGAAAACATAACCTGTGAGCGATCTTCTCTTATCCAAATCACCAGCAAAATCAGAATCAACAAAACCAACAAGTCCATCTCCAGTTTTCCCAAACTGTAAATAAGCATTAGAAGTACCACGCAGGTATCTGAAAATCCACTGAACTGCTTTCCAATGCTCTTTTCTAGGATTAGCCATGTATCTACTGACAACACTCAATGCATATGATAAGTCAGGACGAGAACAAACCATGGCATACATAAGTGAACCAACTGCACTTGAATAGGGAACTCTAGACATGTACTCAATATCGGAATCTGACTTAGGACATAAAGCTGATGACAATTTGAAGTGTGCAGCTAATGGTGTACTCACCGTCTTGGCATTATGCATATTAAAACGACGAAGAACTTTATCAATATATCCCTTCTGACTTAGATATACTTTTCCAGACGGTCTATCTCTGGATATTTCCATGCCAAGAATTTTCTTTGCTGCAGCCAAATCCTTCATCTCAAATTCATTACTCAATTGCTTCTTTAGTTCATTAATCTCTGACATACTCTTTGCAGCAATAAGCATATCATCAACATAAAGGAGCAAATAAATAGTTGAACCATTGACAGTTTTCAAATAAACACAACTATCATAATTAGACCTTTTGAAACCTTGAGAGAGCATAAAGGTGTCAAATCTCTTGTACCACTGTCTAGGAGATTGCTTCAATCCATAAAGAGATTTCTTTAACTTGCAGACAAGCTTTTCTTTTCCAGGAATAACAAAACCTTCAGGTTGTTCCATATAAATATCCTCTTCTAATTCTCCATGTAAAAATGCAGTTTTAACATCCAATTGTTCAAGCTCAAGATTATGCATGGCAACAATACTGAGTAAAGTGCGAATAGAGCTATGCTTCACAACAGGAGAAAAGACTTCGTTATAGTCAATACCTGGAATCTGGCTATAACCTTTAGCAACTAACCTTGCTTTATATCTTGTCTCATCATTAGGAGAAACACCTTCTTTCCTCTTGAAAACCCACTTGCAACGAATAGGTTTCTTCTCTCTAGGCAATTTTACTAAATCCCAAGTGCCATTCTTTTCAAGTGATTCCATCTCATCATGCATAGCGGTCATCCACTTATTACTATCACCAGAAATAATAGCCTCGGAATATGAAGAAGGCTCAGCATTACCTTCAATTTCTTCTGCAACAGATAAAGCAAAAGAAACAATATTGCACTCTTCAATTAACCTATCAGGTTTATTAATACCCCGCCTAACTCTTTCACGTGCAAGATTCGAACTGGGTGGAACAATAGGCTGATTTGGAGTGGGAGTGACATGATCATCATCAACGATGGGTTCATCATGTGCAACAATTTCATTACTAGATTTATCACCTGAATCAATAACATGCTCCACCTGAACAGTAGGCTGCTGAATAGTAGGCTGCTGTTCACTCTCAACGGGAACATTAGTAGATGAAACATCATGTAACATAGCAGATTCATTAAAGATAACATTTCTGCTAATAACAACCTTCTGAGTTTCGGGATTCCACAATTTAAAACCTTTAACACCAGACTTATAACCAAGAAAGATGCACTTAACAGCCCTAGGCTCCAACTTTCCATTATCAACATGAGGATAAGCAGTGCAACCAAAAACTCTCAACTGTGAATAATCAGCAGGTGAACCAGACCATACCTCAATTGGAGTTTTCTTATTAAGAGCAATAGATGGTGAACGATTAATGAGATAACAAGCAGTGGAAGCGGCCTCAGCCCAAAAACGCCTATGCAAACCTGCATTGGACAACATGCAATGGGCTCTGGAAATAATGGTCCTGTTCATACGCTCAGCAACACCGTTTTGTTGAGGAGTATAAGGAACGGTGTAGTGTCTGACAATGCCTTCAGACTTGCAATAATTTTTAAATTGCTTAGAACAGAATTCCATACCATTATCAGTGCGAAGTATCTTTACCTTCCTTTCAGTTCGTTTCTCAATCATAATCTTCCACTCCTTGAATGCTGAGAATGCTTCATATTTATGCTTCAAGAAATAAGGCCAAACTTTTCTCGAATAATCATCAATAATAGTCAGCATATAACTTGCACCACCTAATGACTTCTTGCGAGATGGTCCCCATAAATCAGAATGCACATAATCAAGAATACCTTCAGTTGTATGGGTCGAAGTATTGAACTTCACCCTCTTGTGCTTGCTGAAGATACAGTAGAACCTCGAAGGTAATAAAGACCATTGGTCGAACTTAAGTCACCTTTCATCACAACAAGGGAACCTTTGGTGACCTTCAAAACACTATCTCCACCTGAATATTTGTACCCCTTTGCATCAAGGGCACTCATAAAAATAAGATTTCTCTTCATCTTCGGAATATACCGAACATCTGTCAAAGTTCTGATTATGCCATCAAACATCTTGATTCGAATAGAACCTATGCCTTCAATCTTGCATGGTGAATTATCAAAACCCAAAACGGAACCAGCAGAAGTAGTGGAATCAAAAGTATTAAACCAATCTCTATGTGGACACATATGAAAAGTGCATGCAGTGTCAAGTACCCACTCATCATTGGTCTCAGCACATCCAGCAATAACGACAAGAGCATCATCGGAACTATCATCACGAGCAACGTTAGCAGAATTGTCACCTTGTTTGTTACATTTCCTCTTTTCCTTGTTCTGCAACTTGAAACACTCAGAGATGTCATGCCCGTCTCTCCTGCAATATCTGCAATACTTCTTGTCTCTGGATTGCGACCGGCCCCTGTAGCCGTTCTTACTTTTGCCTCTATTTCCATTATTGGAGTTCTTCTCCTTTGTCCTGCCACAAACAAATAATCCCTCGGCTTGGGATGAACTTGAACCATCATGAGGCACCATTAATTTCATCTTCTCCTTAGAGTTCAAAGCTTCATAAACTTCATTAAGCGTGAGAGTATCACGACTATATAATATGGTGTCTCTAAAATTGGTATAAGAACTTGGCAGTGAACAAAGTAACATTAAAGCAGTATCTTCTTCTTCATACTTAACCTCCATTACAGCTAGATCAGATATGATCTCTTTAAATTCTGAAATATGATTCAAAACATTACCTCCCTAGGGTAACCTGTGCAGGAATAATTTTTGCTTCAGATGCATCTTGCTGGTGAGATCTTTAGTCATGCAAATCCCTTCCAGCTTTAACCATAGAGCGGCGGCAGTTTTCTCGCTCAAAACTTCCTGCAAAATATTATTATGCAAATGGAGTTGAATTTGTGGCAAAGCCTTACAATCAATTCTTTTCTCCTCGGCAGTCCAGTCCTCAATTCGGTTCTTCCCAAAACTATCCAGTGCTACATCATAGTCGGCATGTGCCAACAACGCCCGCATCTTGACTTGCCATATAGTAAACCTTGTGTCACGGTCCAGCAGCGGAAAATTATACTTCATAGAAGCCATGAGTGAACTAAATCTGTGTACACAAAGTAGTATAAGGCAGTAGAAAAATTCTTGACAGAAGTTAATATGCGAACAAAAGAACAGAGTAAATAGCACCTGATGGTCTGAGCACGTAGCAATCGGGAGCAGAATCTGATCTTGGCTTCACGTGGAGCAAGTACTAGTTGGCTGATCTACTAGTACTAATACTCAAAGCAACAGAGTAGCGATCGATTGAAAAGTCGCGTAGCAGGCTAGCAACTCGGCGGATCGGCTCCTCTTCGGGACTTGAACCAAATGATTTAACAACTCACGGGCAGGGTAGTGCCTGTACGTGCAACGGCAGCGGCGGCTCGGTGGATCGGACGACTGTAGCTGCGCGCAGCAGCTTTTGGAGCAGAATCAATCTGCGATGTCCTTTCGGTCTCAGCTAGAAATCGATCGGACGGGTCGACGGACGCGTGCGGCGACGCACGGACAGAACCCTAATCTCTCGTCTCAAATCTTGTATCTGAACCTCAGCTCTGTATACCACTTGTTAGATAATAACGAGATAAAATGAGACACGAGAGACACGGATTTTTACGTGGAAACCCTTGCGGGAGAAAACCACGGACGCACGAAGGCGCAATCACTATGAGGAGGAGTATTACAAGCACGAGACGACAGACCGTCTGAAGTGCGACTACATGGGGTATATAAGAGGGCAATACATGAGAGTCCTTGGAGGACAAGTAAACGAGTTGTACTCGTACGCGTCGACGTCAACGCAAAGGCCCACACCGTTTGTACTACGTCTAGTCCAACACGGTACTAGAATTTAGATCATAATTTAACACTTTCATGAGCACAACAGTACATGTGTAATAAAAATGTTCCTTGAACACTCGCCCAAATGTGTGTCATTTGTAATCAGAAGGAGAACATCAGTGGATCAAGGTTTACTGAACAAAACCAGCCAACTAACAGGGTCAGACTTAAGAATTTCAGAGCTGTCACAAGATTCAGAGAAATAGACTTGCAAATTGGGAGAACTTAAAAGCACTTGTAGTTTCTAATTGATCCGTGTTGGTTACTCCCTACTCCTAAAATGTATATGAATTCGCTCTGTCCATTTCTCTGCCTTATTTGAGCTAGGAGCCTAGGAGCATTTTGGAACATGCTGTAGATTTCAACTAGAATAAGTAGAAGCAGATGCATTACAAAGAGAATCTGAACATCAGTATGGAATACAATGAGTTGTTCTGCTGTAGAACAAGAAGGTTTGCAATATCAAAACATTTTGAAGGTAAAATTAACTCAAGATAAGGGGATTCTGATTGTACTAATTTGGAAAGATACAATAGATATGTTTTTTTTTCCTTTCAGAACATTTCTGCTCATGATCGGGCTAGCTGTCTTTGTTGGGATTATCTCATTTCACCTGGGACCTGATAGATCTGAGGCTACAGGTGGAGCAGAGGATTTCACATTTCCAGCAATATAGAAATTTGCTTCATTTGTTGCAACAAAGTTATGATCTATATTACTCTCAGCATCCATGCTACCTTCCAAGACTTTGACTACCTCTGACATTTTAGGCCTTCTTTGGAAGTCAATCTGCAAACACCACATGGCGAGCTTCATCATCTGAATTATGTCTTGCTCATGTGCTTGCATGTCGTTACTGCTCTTGTCCATCAAGTCTACCAAGTAACCGTTCTTCACCTTTTCTTCCAGTAGAGTAATAAGATGGATGCTCTCTTCAGACTAGGAAGTGTCGCGGTTCTTTCTTCCACTGATGATTTCCATGACCACAATGCCAAAGCTATAAACGTCAGCCTTCTCTATGATTTGTGATGTCAACCATTCAGGAGCTAAGTATCCAGGTGTCCCTCTCATTCTAGTAACCACTTGGCTCATATCCCTATCAATGAGCTTACATAGGCCAAAATCAGAAATTTTGGCATTGAAGTTGTCATCTATGAGGATGTTTTGTGGCTTGACATCCAAATGAGCAATTCTCTTCACGCATTCCTCATGAAGATAAGAGAGACCCTTAGCTATGTTAGTGATTATCTTGCATCGTGTGCTCCAATCTAGAGGAGGAGCATCATCGTCAGGTCGACAATAGATCCACCTATCCAAGGATCCTTTGGGCATATACTCGTATACCAAGAGCCTGTGGGATTTCTCAGCACAGAAAGCAAACAGCCTCACTAGATTGATATGATGAATGCTGCCTATTGTTTGAACCTCTGCCAAAAATTCTCTGTTTCCCTGACCAGCTCGATCCAAACATTTTACTGCAACCCTTTCCTCACCTAGCTGTCCCTTGAAAACAGACCCAAATCCTCCTTCCCCAAGCTTGCCTTTGAATTGCTCGGTCGCTACTTCTAACTGTTGAAACGTGAACCTCATTGGTGTTCCTTGTAGCTTACCAAACTCTGCCTCCTCTTCCTCCATCTCATGGCGTCGTCGTGTCCTTCTTTGATGTATGACGAAAAGGATGAATGCGACAATGAAAATGAAACTGACTATGGAAGCTACAATTGCAATCGGAACAACTATGTCTACTTTTCTGGATGAGGGTCCTGTGCTTGATGGCCCAATAGCAGTTGAAGCAGGACTTGGAGCCGGCGAAGAGGGTAGATCGATTGGTGGGCAGAAGACTACCATGTAGTTGGTATCTCTCGGACAACTGAATGCAGCTTGCGAGGGAGAATATTCAGAGAAACTTATTGCCTCCGGGCACATCTGCACAAAATAGGCTGAGTATTTATCGGGTAAACATCCGTCCCCAGAGCAGCAGTACAAATAGGACAGATTCGTGAACACTTCACATGCGCTCTTGCAGCCTCCGGGCACCTTGAGCTCGATCGGACACTGCGATGTGATGTTGGCAGCACAGCGCGGCCCCTTGCTGCACCCTGATCTTTTTTTCCACTCGACTGGCACTGGCAGGATCTCCATGGGTAGAGTAAATTGCTCAAAGCCACCACATTTGCGGCTAGAGTACTCCGAAACCACCGCTTTTGCCAAAAATCACAAAAGACCACCGACTCTGCGGCAAGTGAGTAACAAATCGCACTAATTTGAAACTGAGACGCGTCTAACAGCGGACCTGACGTGTTGGCCCCACATGTCAGGCTAATTTGGCATGCCTAGATGGATAATATGCTGACGTGGCAAAGGGCCCACATGTCAGCCCCACACCTCCGTCTTCCTCCTCACATCTCTCTTCCCTCTCTCCCTCTTCCTATCCGCCGGCGGCTTGAGCTCGATGCTGCTGCAGGACGGCGGAGCTAGGGGGCGCTCCTCGACGACTGGCGGCGGCGGACGTGGCCGTACCCAACTGCGAGATGCTGGTGAGCGGCTCGGGTGGAGCATCTCCTCGCGCGGGATGATGTCGCGCAGGACGGCTCCTGGAGCGGCGGTGACTTGGACTCCGACGATGTGGGGAACAGCCGGATCCCGAGAGTAGGGAGGCGGGGGAGGTCGATGGCGAGGCGGGAGCCTGCCGCCAGAGTCACCCGCAGCATGGCCGTACGCGGACGAATCGATCTGCCCTGGCCAGCAGCAGGTCGACACCGCGGCTCCCGATTCGTTCGATCTCCTTGCTTCTGCGTCCCTTTTCTACCTGCAACAATCGATCCGCCACCACGTGACGCTGCAGGGAGGCGGTGCACGGCACTGCTGGAGGAGGGCACGAGTTGCCGTGCCCGGCGTCGACCATCGGGTCTTGGTGGGCGGCCATGGCGTGGGCGAGTGGCGGCGTCGAGGCTCGCCGCGCGCAGAGGAGGGGTGGAGCTCGTCAGGGTGCAGACGGAGGGGCAGCATCGCCGGAGAAGAGCTGGACCGACGGAGTAGGTGTTGTGCGTGCACACGAAGTACTCGACGAAATGCCAGAGCCTAGTCACCTCTCTACTTAGTCGCGGCTCACATCACGTTTAGTGCTTTTTGTTACTCACTTGGTGAGGAAGTGATGGTTTTTTGAAATTTTTGACAAAAGTGATGGTTTTGCAGTATTCGTGCCACAAATGTGGTGGCTTTCAGCAATTTACTCCCATGGGTACATTGAAGCCGTAGAAGAGGGAAATATAGAAGAAAGTGTTGGCGTAAAGATGGAGGAGTTCGAAATTAGCAGTCGTGGTGGGCAGCTGACCATACCTCTTGCAAGCGAGCATGCCGTCGCAGTCGCTTGTCTGGCACGACCCGTTGCCTCCGCTATCAAATGAGCAGCCTGTTCGTGCCCAAATGTTGTGGTGGTGGAAGAATCGGGCACCTTGAGGGTCCATGTCTTCCCTGGGTCCAGCGGCATGCCGCCGCCCACCGGTACAGCGGCCGGCCACACGGTGTAGGAACATTGATTGGTGATGTTCAACGTGATGGTGCTGACAACATGCAGCAGGGGGAGGAGCAGGGGGAGGAGCAGGTGGAGGAGAGTCACAAAGGTAACCGTAGCTGCCATTTGTTGAAGCAAAACACGCCTTGCTACCTGTTATTATCTGGTACCCCCCACCTCGTAATCAAAATATAAGATGGCTTGACGGCAACTAGCAATGAAATAATTAAATATTCTAGAAATGCATCACGAAACGCAAATGGTCATACAATGACAACAATATATTTTTACGATAACATAACACAAAATTTGAAACAATAACAAATAGCACGTACTCTCAAATATGGTCTCGTACATGACATAAATGACAACAATTTAAAAGATAGGTTCAAATGCTTGACATAAACAGTGTGTGGCAGTACATACGTAGTTCCAAGTTCAACAAGGTAGTACATACAAAGTCCAAGTTCAACATGACATAAAATAGATGGTTCGAAGTTCAACAGCACATAAAAGCATCGATCTTCAAGGCAACATAAGCAGCCATGTCTTCCTCATGGTAATGAGCAGCTCCTTCAGAGCTTGAAATAGGCGATCATTGAGTACCAACTTCCCGTAACATCGAAGCATATCTTGCTCAGCTAAATCAGGTATCGACCTAAGTGAATCAAGTATTTCAGCGGGTGTGGTAACCTTTGGTAGTGGAATGGGCTCAGTTGTCTTGAAAGCATCAACTAAGTCCTTCATATCCCAAGCATGCAAAGAATAGCATCACCTGTTCGCTGCCTCTTTGGCGCTACTTCTGGAGAGACTTCAGCCGGTTCTTCTAATGGCTCTGCAGCAATCTCAGCACCTGTCTTCGCACCCTCGCCATTAGCATGATCTTTTGAATATACGATACATATGGGCTCCCAGTTCTTGATTACTTTGGTCTTGTAAGACTTTATCTCCTTGCATGCCTTGTTAGCCTACACAATAAACACAAACTAGTAAAGCTACTACCTTCTTATTCTACATATGCAAACTATATACAGAATGTGTACTCATGATGCATGCATGGTTACCTCCATATATTTAGCCCAAACATCATCACTATCCATTGATAGCCTATTATTGGTCCAATCCGAGCCGAAACCACTTTGAGAAAGGATCTTGCTAACGACCTCATACTGATGATCCAAAGTCCTCATCCTTCCACTTATGTTATCCTTTGTGATATCCTTATTGCACTTCACTAGTAGAAAAAAGGACCTTATGTGAGATACATTAGTCCCGGTTCAATTTTGGCCCGGTACTAATGATATCATTAATACCGGTTCGAACGGCTATAAGTGCCAGTTCGTGTTGAACCTTTAGTACCGGTTCGTGCCACGAACCGGTACTAAAGGGGTGGTGGCAGACTGGCGTCAGGCCGGGGCCCCACGAGCCCCTTTAGTCCCGGTGGCACAAACCGGTACTAAAGGGCCAACCTTTAAGAACACAAAAAAGATATGACAGATATGGCTTCTACTGTATCACCCAGACGTTCACACATGTATCTCCCAGTGTGTTGTAGCACCCAATTAACGTATCATGTTTGTTAGTAGTTCTAACATGTTAGACTTTGCTGAACTTTATTGTACCTAATATTCTCTTTGGCACTTAATTCACATCACACTTTAAGTTCTGCTCGAAGGGTCATCTGAATTGATGACAATGGTAAAGCTCATGTGTGTCGAGTACCCCATGTCTAAATTTATTCAGAAGTGTTCACAATATTACGGCCTCACACGATCTGGATAACTTGGAAATAGAAAAAAACATGGTTGCCGTCTCATATGCTTTTAGTTCATTTACTAATCATATTGAGAAAATAAATTTAATTTCTTTAGAATAAATTTAAGAACACAAAACAAAGTTGGTTGAGAAGACTTAGATGAATACACTATATTTCAAATATTATTAATAGCTTCAAGTATTTATGATTTTTGAAAAAAAATTAGCCCGTGCAACAGCACGGGTTGACGACTAGTTAATAAGAATTATTGAGCGAAGAAAACACCAGAACGGGCCCACACCCTGGCCAGGAGGGTGGGGGCGCGCCCACCCCTACTGGGTGCGCCCCTGTCTCCTAGGCCCCCTGGTGGCCCTCCGGTGCCCATCTTCTTCTATATGAAGGCTTTTAACCTGGAAAAAAAATCTGAGGCAAGATAACGAGACGAAACTCCGCCGCCACGAGGCGGAACCTTGGCGGAACCAATCTAGGGCTCAGGCAGAGCTGTTCTGCCGGGGAAACTTCCCTTCGGGAGGGGGAAATCATCACCAT